GTCATTTAGTTCCTAGGTGATAGAATTGTAATTCAGCTGGAAGCTCACAATTCTAAAGGATGCGTAAGGCTGTTTGTGGGCCTCAGGCTTGAACACATGATGTTAGTAACATATGTTCATGTCAGTGATTAGTTTATTATTGGCGACAAATGTTATGAAGTCTGTTTTATCAGTATTTAAGGTGGATTTATTAATTTGAGCATGTTCACAAGAACGTTGTAGTGGAGCATCATGTTATATTGTATTACAGTTGTGAATTCTGTTTACACAGAATGTACACAGTAATGATTATATATTTAGTTAGATACATGTTTTGGTCAACAGAGCCGGAATAGTGCAGTCTGTATAGCGACTGGCTATTGGCTGGGTGACCAAGAGGTCAGAGTTCAAGTCCCAGTGGGCGAAAGAACTTTCACTTCTCCATGTCGTTCAGACTGGGTCTGGGGCCAACCCAGCCTCCAATCCAGTGGGTACCAGGGTCTTTTTCTCTGGTTACATAATGGTGATATATATTGGAAACTGGAAAGTTACAGTGGTTAAAGTCGTCAAAATGTTGAGCATTGTGTTTTGTCATAAATTCATAGTACTAAACTACATGGTGTTGGTTTGTGTGATTTTAATTATGTGTGTAAATATATGATCTTTAATATGTTGTGAAGAAGGGTTGATTTAAGGTAACCAGTTTTCCCAGCCCCAAATTTGGAACATCTAATAAATGTTTTGAAGGGGGTTAAAAAAAGGCCAGTGAAAATGTTTAATTTATATAAACATACGAGAAATAGTTTAACTGCAGTGAAAGTCTGTTACATACAATAAAGTAGAAACTACTGTTAAGATGAAACTGATGTGATACTTACATTAAAAATAAGAGACGAAGCTTCTGTTTTTTTCAGAGTTGTGAATTTTCTTAAGGAGCTTATACTTTGTCAGAAGCATTTAAAAAAAACTCAGCACAAGTTTCATCATAATTTACCTTAATCACGAACATTTCCTTCAGAGTGTCCACACCAAGCTGAGTTTTGTCAGTGGTCCATGTGCTATTCATGAGGAAATGTACCCTTTCAGTGGCAGCATTGGGTTCAGGATGGCAGAAAAGAAACTCTGCTAACTTAAGTACATTTGAGAAAGGAATATGGCTCTTATTGAAGTGAGAGACCTTATCAACCCATATTTGAGCTAGCAGAGTTTTGTTAACTGTTCACTCAGAAATTCTTTCCCGGGTTACATACTGCTTCACATAGACATGTTCATCATACCTTTCAGTTTCAGCTAACAGAACAGATTGTGCAGTTTTAGTCACAAGAGATGAAGTTCTCTTAGTGTCTGCCTATGAAGTTGTGCTGTTCAAGGTTACTCAGCTGTAGGATTCCAGGTCCTGAAAGCTTTTTAGTCCATTTCTTAAAGTAACAAAGAGCAGTTTCATAGAATGAGAGTGCAGTATCATGAAACATTTGTACCTCTTCTTGAGGTAGGTCTCCTTCTGTTTCCAGTTTTCCGAGGTTTGTCATAGTAACTGAAAGAAGTAAACAGTCTTGAAGTTTGAACATCAAGGTAGTTTTAACCCATTAATGCTATCAGTTACTTCAAATACCCTTTTCACTGCTTCATGAAAAGATGAAACTTGAATGTGAACAAAGTATAGCCATACTTCAGACAAAGGATTTTCAGAGAAATTCAGCAGAAGCCATGAACATTTGTCCTCTGATTGAAAATATGATTTTAGAGGCAAGAACGATTTAAGAACCATTTCAGTAGCAGGCAGCAGTGCTAGCCACCTCATTTGAGCATAAACCCAGCATCATCTCAAACTCAAACTCTCAATCACAAAATTCCTTAAGATTTCAGCTATGACTGTGTAAGATTTGAAGTTCAGATACATTCTGGAAATGATTATCTCTACATAGCAGGCAAAATATCAGTATCTGCTCAAAGGATGATGTGGAAGATGTGGCCAGCACACCCAACTTACTTATGGAGCTGAGTCCTTTTTGAGGAGAAGCCAAATCTGCAACTACTTAAGAATTTCCCAGCATTTTATGGAACCCGAAGGTTCATCACCATGTTCACAAGAGCCCTCCAGTGGTCCCTATCCTGAGCCAGATCAATCCAATCCATAACATCCTATCCTATCTCTCTCAGATCCACTTTAATATTGTCAATCCACCAATGCCTTGGTCTTCCCAGTGGTCTCCTTCCTTCTGGCTTTCCCGCCAATATCCTATATGCATTCCTCATCTCCCCCATTCATGCTACATGCCCTGCCCACCTCATCCTCCTTGACTTGATCATTCTAATTATACTTGGAGGAGAGTACAAGTTACGAAGCTCCTCATTATGTAGTTTTCTCCAACCTCCTGTCACTTCATCCCTGTTTGGTCCTAATATTCTCCTCAACACCCTGTTCTCAAACACCCAACTCCTAACAGTATTTGTGTTATCTGCACACAGTCCAAAAACTTTTCCTACTGAACAGTTTTCTGTTAGGCAGGTACTCACTCACTTAACAATAGCAAATGTTTCGCTAGGCAATGATTTTAGCTCTGATATTTTAATTTTCACTCCAGTTTTGTAATCAGAATACCTGACAAGCACAGGAAGAACCTTGATCTCTTTATGATTCAATCCATCAATCAATGCTGAAATAAATGTAGTTTTTCCAGATCACAATGCAAAACATTTAAAGCATGAGGTTCATACATGTTGAAAATAATGGTTTCTGCTTTGGTACCCACACATACAAATTTGGGTTCTAAATGTTATCTGGAATAGCTTTGACGTACAGTCCCTGGACCTGAAAGTATGATTCTATGAAACTGTGTGATATGTGAAAGCACCTTCAGTTGCAGCAAACTGGTCTTACTACCAATTTTCTCAGTCCTAGAAATTTGTTAACAACGAACTAGAGGCAGCTACAGATATTGCTTTTTTGTGTTTATCACTGTTTAAGTGAGTTTTAATAGCACCATGTCCACTATGGCTCTTGGAAAATCTCAGTGCAAATGTGTTGCACCTCACATGAGAGACTGAGGCACTGTTCCTTGAGACAAATGGGAATTGCTTTTGTAGCTGTTCAGTAAAGGTGCACTTATGCTTCTTTGCACTCATTTATGTTTTTAGTAAAACTAAAATTGTTCATGAAAATTGCGAACAAAAGCAATCTGTGGTAATCCACAAGTCTACACCGTCAGAAAAACCTCAAAACCCAATCAGGATGCATAACCATTCATAAGGAGATGGGTGTGACACTGCCATGCACGGCGAGTGTTGCTGCCTGCAACAATGTCTTAAACATTGGTGATATCAAAGAACGTAAATATGACCAACTTAAATTCTCAGCCTTATAAAATGCCCTTATGTCAAGAAAAATTCTCTAAACATGCTTACATGTCTTATGTTCTTATTTGAATCATTTTCTCATCTGACTAAATGTGGTGCGTTTTCAAGGCCATAGAGATGGCTGTTCTAATTATGATCTCTGTGTTACATATGTAGTTTCCGCAGAGTTTATGTATGAAATTGATGTATAGGATTATTTTTACCTTAGTATGCTATGAATATTATGTTTGTGGAGGTCGGTGTGGAACAGATGTTGTGGCTGTTATAGTGTTATGCCTGTGTATATTGTGGCATGTAAATGCTTTGCTAGGCAATGACTATGAAATATGCGGCTATACGAAAGCTGTTGCTAGGTAATCACTCTGTAAACAACAGCTGTTGCCAGGTAATGACTGCAGCAGATTCGTAATGTTCAACAGTGGAGTAACTTGGAAGTGGTGTTCTCTGCGGGTTCGTGCAATCACAACAGAACTGTTGGAAGAGGTGTTTCCTGTGTAGTCTGTGCCAAGATTTTATTAGTAGGACAAGACTAGAGTCTAGATAGCCCAGTTACTAATCCAAACCATGTCTGTAGTCACTAATAAATGTGACAGTTTAAATAAAATAAAATAAAACATTAAAAAGAAACATTTTACGTGAATAAATATTTATAACCCTCTGGGTTGGCTTTGTCCATGTACAACCTCCCCCCACCTATTTTCCCCTAATATCCTACAGAAAAGCACCTGATTTGTGTCTTTAATTTATACAGTGCTTTTCAGGAACATATCAACTGGTTAAATCAAGAAATCAGTGTGTATGTATTTGTATGTCAGTGGGAAACACTTCGTAAGTAGGCAAGAGAGTTTCTGAAAAGCAAATCTGTTAGAAAATAGTTGTATTTTCAGATTACAGTTTTTGTTGTATCATAGGAAAGATGAGAAATGCATGCAAGTACAAAATTTTAGCCGGAAGTGCAAAAGAGAAGAAACCACATAGAAGACCTAAGCATAGATTGGATGTTAAAATTAAAATGAATCATAAATAAGTAGGGTTGGAGGTTTTGGGCTCGATTCACCTGCTTCTTTCACTTTCAGATTCACTGTTGATATTGCTGTCACTGTAGTAGATTGAAAATTATGTTGTCCTAATAAGTTTTTGCTGGACCACATCGTGGTTGTTTTGGGTGTGAAAGATCCTGAGTTGAGTTACAAGAATCATCAATTGTATCTCCCCTGATTTGTAGTCTTAGCTATCGTCTTTGATACAGTGCGTGACTACATTTTACAGCTCACTGTTACACACACTAGTGTCCACAGTCACATCTTCACTAGACATGGCTCAGTAGCTGAGAACAGGGTTAGTTTGGGAACCCAGAGGAAGGGGAACATCCACCGTTGGAAGCTGCTACCAACGGCTAGTGAAGACTGTGATAGACTAAGAAGACCTAGTGTGTCCTGTAGTGATTTGTGTAGTGAGTAGAACAGTGAGAACATAATCCTTACTTGTATTTACAAGTTATAAGAGTTCAGTAAATCAAATTACTGATCCAAGTCCTGTCCATAGTCACTCCATCACATGACAATACCATACCTGTTCTATAGAAGTGGATACATTGTACTAACATTAGGCCCTTATGTCCCCAAAGACAAGTATTAATATTTGCAGTTTTACTTCCTTTGCAGAATGTGGACATCCCAGACGCAGGCTCAGCCACAGCCACAGCTGCAGCAGCAACAGCAGCAGTCAAACCTGCGTACCTTGGGGATGACTTCAGCCATTAGCACAGCTGTACCCAAACAGATTGATTATCAGAGAACAGCAGAGTTGCAGGAAGTTCTCAAACCTTACAATGTGTTTGAAACGGATGAGGAGCTGAATCATCGGTATTATATATGGCATTTTTATATTTGTTGTGTTATAGTAAAGTTGTAATGTAATTGTAATGGCTTAAATTGCAGCCTGTTTGAATTATAACAGTGATACCTGTTAAGGGGTCATGTGGAATCATCTCAGATTTCACCCATTAGCAATACTTGCTGAAAATGATGTACGAAATTTTAGCTGTCAGTGCAGCCTATCAGGTGTCAGCAAAATATCAAATGTAATGTAAAGTCAGTAGCATGACTCACAGACTTAACTTTTTTTTTAATATTATTTATTAACAATCAGAATTACGTACATTCTATAGGTTAATGGTTTCACTAAGGACTATTACATGTCATGCGAGGAAAATGTCCATCGACATTACCTCTTCAGAAGTTGATTTGTTTTATATCAGGTCATTTGGCCATTTCCTTTTTAGTCTTCTATTGTTGATTGGCTCCCTGAGTGGTTGCAATAGTTCGTTCTTGTGGGTTTCAATTTTGCTCATGTGTTGGCGGCTTCTGTCCAGGATGATTTCTTTCACGAATTTTAAGTTAAAGTCTTGATGTAGGGTTTCGTTTGACACATACCAAGGTGCGTCGACTAACATCCTTAGGATTTTCGATTGTGATCTTTGGATAATATTGATGTTGGACTTACTGGCACATCCCCAGAGTTCAATGCCGTAAGTCCAAATTGGTATAATTACTGTTTTGTATATAATGATTTTGTTTTCGAGGGATAGTTTTCATCTTCTGCCTAAAAGCCAGGACATCTGCTTGGTCAGTAAATCTATTTGTTTACGTTTTTTTGTTATGTGGCATTTCCACGTCATTTTGCAGACAGACTTAACTTAAGACAATTTGCTGTTATAATAACATACAAGTTGAATATCACAAATGGTCCTGTCTACAAAACAAAATCTATGATTGCAAACAAAGACAAATTTGATACTAATATATCACCATTTGTTTATTGTACAAAGGTGTTCCACTACATGTTTTGACCTTCAGGCGTACTTACAAGCATTCATTCATAGTTCTTGAATTGTGTTTTAACATGGATCCATATTGTAACGTGTTTCGTTACTGAAGACGCCATAGAGATCGTTAATTGGTTTATTCAACAATCTACAAGTAACGGCTACAATTAATTATCACACAGTTGCGGGGTTTCACACTTTATAACCCTATGCGCAAATCAGTTCACTCTGCCTTCAGTAGTCTACACGTTTACAGTAGGGGAGCTATGTAACTGTCCCTGTATCACACACTCCCAATTACACAATCACACACACGTCCGGTTCTTCTTTCCGCGACGGCTGCTATACTCCAACTGTAGTCTGCTCACTGGAGAACTGTTGATAACGCACTCGCTCGTAGGCTTGCTCGAACTATCTTCGGCGATGGCTACATTACAACTCTGCGGTAGCCACATTAGAACTCCCTGGTAGCTGCTGTGCAGTTCCCTTATATAGCCGCAGTGGTGCCTGTTGTGTGCCACGTCACAGTAGGAAGTTGATTACAGGTATGTAGCGTTGCGCGTTACGTCACCGCGGAGGGTTGGGAGGGAGCGCTACGTTACCGCCACGCGCCTGTGGCCTGAGTTGCCACGTTGCTGCTGGGTAGGGAAGGTTTCTCCGTTGTGCAACATGTTACAATATTATTACAATTTGTTTTATTTTTGATAACGAATACTACCGTATTCTTAGGCCACACCATAGCTCAAGTGGTTAGTCGCTGGCTTCCCATCGTAGCGGCCCAGGTTCAATCACGGGTCTGGTCAAGTGGGATTTTTGGTGAACAAAGTTGCCCTGGGACAGGTTTTCTCCGAGTAGTTCGTTATCCCCTGCCAATCTTCATTCCACCAATTGCTCCACAATCACCCTCACCAATCATCTGGGGCTGGTACAATAGGCCAGAAGTGGCTGCAGTGCAGGGGACTTAGTCCCACCCCACTAGCAATAATAATAAAAAAAACCCTTATTCTTAAATATATCTAATAAATGCACACTAAAATACGTTTTAAATTCTGTTTAGATATTAACACAAGTAACTTTTATGTAGTTAGGTCTTTAATATTACATGGTTATTAATGCAGTTTTGTCCTTGAAAATAAAATTAAGGATTAAAATTTTTTAAAAATTTTCAAATTAACTACTCGAGTCACACTTGAGATATAGAGTTGGTTCTAAAGTAAGCTTGAAATTAGGAGTAGTTTGGGGGTAATCTGGTTTTTTCATAGTTATTAGTTGCTATGTCGCAGGTCGATGCAACGTGAGGGGCCCCTTCCTTAGTTAATATAGCATTGATTTACTTTTTTCATCATGTAAAGGCTGGCTGGCAGTTTTTCTGTCTTGTATCTTTCTCACCTAGTTTTGTTCTTATAAATAGAGAATTTAATGCCTATGTATGTGTATGCGAAGGGATCCCCGTTGTTGTTTTGTTGTTCACATTGCGGCTCTGCTTAGAAGACCTGCTTGAAACATACGTTCAGTTTGTTTAATTTAAGTACCGCAAACGTGTTGTGTTCTGTTTTTCATCAGTGAACAATTCTTGGATTATTTTAAGTTATTATCTGAACACTTTTGGGAGCGACTGGAGAAAACACAAAAACTTGGTCATGATAAGATTTGTATCTAAAGCAGACTCTTCCCATTTCCTCATCCAACCTTCTGTTTTCACCATTTACAATGTTCAGCCCAACAACAATAATTCTGTGCTGTGTAACATTGATGTTTGACAGTGCCATAACCAGTAGTGAGCAGTCCTTGTTCCCAAGCTGTAACAAAACTTGTTTTGAATGCAGGATGGAAATCCTCAGCAAGTTGAACTCCCTGGTCAAGGAGTGGATCCGTGAGGTATCAGTCAAACGGAACATGCCCCTGAATCTGGCAGAACAAGTGGGTGGGAAGATATATACATTTGGGTCATACCGTCTGGGTGTTCACCACAAGGGAGCTGATATAGATGCTCTCTGTGTGGCTCCAAGACACATCGATCGCTCTGATTACTTCACTTCCTTTTTTGAGCTCCTGAAGCAACAGAAAGAAGTGACTGATCTTAGGGTAAGTGAAGCAGTTGTATTACAAATTGTATGGTATAGAATTTGTTTCAGTTCCAAGTTGCTTGCTTAATGTTTTTCTGTTTTGGCAGGCAGTGGAAGAAGCATTTGTTCCTGTTATAAAAATGAACTTTGATGGCATTGAGATAGACATGCTGTTTGCCAGATTAGCATTGAAGGAAATTCCAGATACAATGGTAAGTTTACCTCCTTATATAGGATTTATGAAGAAGTGTGTTCAGGCATGTAAAATAAATTTTCTGTGCAATAAATGTAAAGTTAAAATCCAGCTTATGACTAGAGTGTTACTCCCATGGCGACAGCATTCCAGCATAATGGAATGTTGATATACTTGTATACTCACAAATGCAGCATTAACCATTATGTGTCAATGAACACTTTGCTTCTCCAAGGTAGCACAGAGAGACTAACACTGTTTATTGAATAGTATGTTAAGAGATAAAGCCTGGCAACCAATTATGCAGCTGTTATGTTTAACAGAAATCTAAAATTGGAGTACAGTATTATTGAAAACAGTTGCAAGTGAATGAATTATTAATTACTTTGATAACTAATTATGCAGAAGAAACATAGTTTCATGTCACTGGCAAACTAGGAATGGAATATTAGTCTTTGTGTGGGTGGTGCTGATGGGACAAGGTAACGTATTCTTAATGCTACCATAATTCAGAGTGAAAAGTCATACTGCTGCCACAAACCCAGAGAAAATATCTGTAGTATCCAGTGGATTCTGAGCCCTAGAGCTATTAGATATAAGGCAGACAATTCCCTTCTCCCATTCTGGGAATGAAAATTGGCAATCCTGCTAAATCCAGGCAGTTTCTTTCTGCTGAAGATGAATATTGCAGTACTGGCTGAAGCATAGTTTCCTAAACCCATTGAAATTTTAACTGGCAGATTTGACATTTCCCATCTTTAGCTATAGTTTGACTAGATACTGTTTCCATTGGTCCCCCTTTGACTGGCTATAGGCTGGACGGCTGAGGTGATGGAGTTCAAGTCTGAAACGTACCAAAGCCCAAGGACCGAAAAGTGGTTTGGGATAGGAAACTATATTAACAATACAGACAGCAAATGAATATAACAATATAATAATATAATTGATTAGAAAAATACAAACTGCCCCAGATAAGGACGGCACAACGTACAAGCGTCCACCAACTCCGCCGTTAATTTAGTAAACCAAAATTCCAAAAAATAATTTGGGGTCGAGACCAGACTCTTCCACGGCGTGCAGCAGAATGGCCCTCCAGTGTCCAGACGAGCCTCTCAGTCCCTGGTGAAAGGATGAAGGGCGCAAGCGTAGGGCATGTGGAGAGGGGGAAAAGGAAAGAAGGGGGTCTGGTTGAGGGACCTGGCGGTGGTTGCTGCCGTTACAAGTCTCATTAGGAGCAAGATGTTTCTCTCCAACCAGTTCCAGTGCCCACCGAGCCTCCTCTCCAGTGGATACCTGGGGCCCTTTCCCTGGTGATAAAATGATCGCGTGAAGCTGACCACTCATCTCCAACTAGTACTGAGGTCAAGAATGCATGGATCCATACATCCAGTCCCCCATATGCCTTCATAGCATAGTGCTTAATTAGTTGAGCAAAAGGGCAGCTTTACCTTTCTACCTTTTATTGATCCTCCTTATATGTTAAAGCCCTTGAGAAACGTTTCAGTATCACGATTCCACTGACTGCATACCAAGAACTTGAAAAATTCTGGAAAGCCAGCTTGATAGAACAGGCATTGCTGCTACTGAGAAGTAACTTTTCCAGTGAAAGTTGAGACTGCAGTACTGACTGAAATATGTATCACTGCCATTTACTGCTGCCATCTTTTGGCCTATTTGTAACTAGTAATGGCCACAACATAACTGAATAATGACAGTAGAAAAGCCTTAGCCATCTATATGTTTGTATGTATGTGTGTGTGTAAGAGGTGGGCCATAAAATTCAGCCCTTGCATTACGACCTTCTGTTTTGCTTCCCCTTTGGATTAATCCTTCATTAATCCTACACTTTGAATGCAAATCTATATGTATCATTAACTTCTTGAGAGCATTTGTAACATGGAAAAAGTTAAAGAGGCTCCATTTCACAAATTGTTCATGATCACCCACCATTGTGGATAGTCCTCCAAATATGTATTGACACACTTTTTATAATAATAGTTTTTATGCCTTGTGAACATGTTGCAGGACCTACAGGATGATTGTCTGCTCAAGAACCTGGATCAGAAGTGTGTACGAAGTCTGAATGGTTGCCGGGTGACAGACGAAATCTTGAGGCTTGTACCTAATATTGAAAACTTCCGACTTGCTCTCAGAGCCATTAAGCTTTGGGCCAAAAGTAAGGAACACACTGCGTCCCTAGATATTTCACACAGTATAATTTACTTTGCGCTTGTAAGATGCTTGGTGTTGCCAGTGAATCACTATACATTGTAACCCCCATTCAATGTTTGTTGGTTGAAGTTGTGATACATCTGAACTCCATTGAATATTTCTCATTTTAGGGTCGTCAGTGTTAAATTACTTTGATCTTGGCCCCATTATTTTGCTGTTAAAATCCCATCATTTTGGTTTTCTGCAGTTTGGACTTTACTGGACAGAATTAATATTAATCCGGTGACCCCCAAATATGCTTTAAGTGGGGCATGTCACTTTGGGTGGGCTATTTCTCCGAGTTCTGTCCGTGGGCTGTTAAATATAATGTAAATTTGGCGTTGTGATTGTAGATTGAGACATCCTTGCACCCTAGAAGTGATGGTATTCTGTTTTTAATTGTACATTTGGGTTAAGGCTCTTGGCCATCCATGCCTGTTCAGAAGCTTGCTGTTTCTTGAATTATTAAATGACCTTTTTTTTGTCTACTCCATATATTATGTAGCATAGTAGTTATGAATAATGAAGTGGGAAGGATGTGAAAATATGTGGTGATAACTTATTTGAGGTACCATACTGCATTTTGTGGGGGTAACTCAGAAAAACCTAAAATTAAAATTCACTTAGTGTGGGGTGGAGTCCAACTTGGTCCACTTTGTATGGTGCCACTGATTGGCCTATTATAGCCTGCCCCGGGTGATTATGATGATGGAGAATTTGTTGGAATGAAGATTGGCAGGGGAAACTGAAGTACTTGGAGAAAATCCATCCCAATGCCACTTTGTCCACCACAAACCCCACTTGACCAGACCTGCGATCAAACCCGGGCCGCCACGGTGGAAAGCCAGCGACTAACCGCTTGAGCTATGGCGCGGCCCCAGGGAAACCTAAATGTGAAATGAAAATTTAAATCCACAACTTGTCTGAGAAGCCTTGCTTGAAAGTTATTTTTGAGGTCAACGGGGAAATTCATCTGTCCTGCTCATAAGGTCTAATGCTGAAATTGTTTCTGTCAGTTGAGAAAGTTCAGGTCACGAAGAATTGGTTATAGCAAATAAGATTTTTGAGAAATCTGAGTGGTGACTGCATCAGCATAAAAGTGTTTCTTACAGATATTCAGTGTAACCTTCCTAACATCAAGAATTCCTTAGTTTGGGCCCTGTCCTGGTCCCTTGTGTGTGCTGTACTATTATGTGACGGGCAAAATACAATCTCATATTTTTATCAGGCCATTAGATCTAGAGTAAGAATGTATTTATTTTTGATAGGGAGCAGGAGTTGAAGAAGCCACTTGTATATCTTGTACTTGCAGGAAAATTGAAGCATGCACATTAAACCCTTTAAATCAATGAGTTTTTTGTGTTTTCCAGAACATGGAATTTACAGTAATGCTTTGGGCTACCTTGGTGGAGTTTCCTGGGCCATGCTGGTAGCACGCACATGTCAGTTGTACCCCAATGCAGTAGCCGCCACACTTGTTCACAAGTTCTTCCTTGTATTCTCCCAGTGGAAGTGGCCACAACCTGTTCTACTCAAGCAGCCTGACACTGTCAACTTAGGCTTTCCTGTCTGGGATCCTCGGGTGAGGAAGCATTTCATCTTGTTTTATTGTAGGTTATGTGAGGGGCTATGCTACAAGCCGGAAGATCATGGGTTCAAGTCCTGATGAAGTCATTGAATTTTTTTCAGTTGACCTAATCCTTCCAGCCGCACTATGGCCCTGGTGTTCACTCAGTCTCTAACAGAAATGAGTACCAGTATGCGTGGCCGGCACGTAAGGCTGACAACCTTACTGCCAGCTTTGAGCGAATTGTCTAGATAATGTGGGACCCTCAATGTCTCACAACCCGATGGGCCTTCACGGCCTCTTACAGGGATAGCTTTACTTACTCTATGAACATATGGTGATGATCAGGAAAGTTAGACATAATTGTTGTTGGTCATTATTTCTTTTCACTGTTACTACAAGAAGTGAGATTAGTTTATTTTTAGGTTTCAGTATGTGAACTATGGTACATAGGTAACAGTAGTTTGGTGGACAAACTTTGTATGTTCTGTACAGTTTCTGCTTTTCTGTTATGTAAACCACTAAGGTCCTTGTGGTCCTTGGCCCATTTTCCATGTAATCAAACCACACTATCTGGTTAGATGGCTCCATTTGTCTCACATTTGCATATGTTTTGAACTGGAAGCTTCAGGTAGAATTTTTAGCTGGAATAAGATAAATACATTGATCCATGGTGGCAGAATATTTTTATTTGTAATCAGATTCTGTAAGTGAGGGTTGAGTGAAGTTGCAAGGAAATTTGTTTTTGATATTAAAACTCATATAATAGCCGCAATGTCTGATCTGTTTTGCTTCTTGTTTAAATTCTTAATCTGAATAAAACATGTTAGAAATGTTTTTGTCATTTCAAATTTCAGGTGAACGTTTCAGACCGATACCACCTGATGCCTATTATCACACCAGCGTACCCGCAGCAGAATTCAACTTTCAATGTGTCAATATCTAACCGCACTATCATGCAGGAGGAGTTCAAGCAAGGCCTGGCTATTACTGAGGAGATTATGGTTGGCAAGGCAACATGGGAGAAGCTTTTTGAACCACCCAATTTCTTTATCAAATACAGGTATGTTGATTTGTGAATCTTGTTTTGCAACCTGTAATGAAATGTGAATAGATTAGATCTGAAGCCATTGGATTCTGTTCTGGCACAAAGGCCCTAATAAGTATTACTTCCATCATGTAAGATTTGAAGCTTTCATGGCAAATAAATGGGGTAAAATCTTAGCAGTCAGCCATGTCAGTGCTGAACTAAAAAGCCAACATTTCAGAGATCCCTTTGGTTTCCATAATTGGGATGTGTGTTGAATCTTTCAGTCTTAATGCAAATGGTTCCCGTTTGAAACTAATGATTATAAGGTCATCAGGTTTGCTTAAAATCCTAATAATTGTATGATATTGAGGAAATACATGAATACCTCAGGCCAGCATGTGACATTGGTTATTTGGGAAAAAGAAATTCCATTGAATTGGCCCATACTCATGTAAATGCTGTAACTAATATTTTTTGTTGTTTCTATGGTTTTTAATTAACCATTTTGGTTCTCCCCTTTGCTGTGATCGCCAGATAGGTTGATCTCTTGCTGAGGTGATCCCTGAGAGAGTAGTGCTAGCTGCCAGGACATTGTACATGCACTGCTCTGTTCTGCTCAGAAAGAAATTTATAGTTCCTTTAGTAATTCATGTAACAGTATGCTTCAGAAGAGCTGTATGTTCATGTTAGGTAGATAGCTGCCATGCTATACCAAGATGCTCTCTACGAGAAGATATGGGCATGCAGGGCTTAAGAAAATGGTTGCAGACACTGATAATTGAAAGTGTATTCATTTTAAAATCTATTCTAGGAGCAGTATTGTATATGCACCATTTATAACTAGGATAAACTGCTCATTCTATTGCTTTTTTCTTTTATCCGGTAATCATATTTTCAAGTAGCTGTGATGAACAAATGAATATTGCTGGTCAATTTATTTCTACCATGACACAGTTCATATGTTTTTTTCTGTTGTATTATGACACTATAAAAGGTGGCACTACGTAAATATTCATAAGAAAATCATGTGTCAAATTGAATTAATATTTTGTTATTCCAGGCACTTCATAGTGTTGCTGGCAAGCTCTTCTTCGGCTGAGGATCAGTTGGAGTGGGTTGGTTTGGTGGAATCCAAGGTGCGTCATCTGATTGGAAACCTAGAGAGGAACATACACATCACATTGGCACATGTGAACCCAGAGTGCTTCTCACAGTTGGAACCAGAACCAGACAAGTTCTGCACGATGTGGTTCATTGGCTTGGTTTTTGCCAAGACTGAAAACCTCAATGTTGATCTCACATATGACATTCAGTCCTTCACCGACTCTGGTAGGTACTGTTTGTTAACATTTGAAAAAAATATGTATGTCTGCTAATATTGTGTTTTAATCATGTGTTTATTTTTCATTCCAGTTCACCGACAAGCCGTACAAATAAAAATGTTGAAGGATGGTATGAAAATTGAAGCAAGACATGTTAAAAGGTAAGTATACCACTTGTTGAAAAAGCGTGTTTTATGCATGACCTGCCGAAGTCCAGTGTTTTAATGTCATTGCTAAAGAATTCCATGACAGGATCTGCATCCCAAATCTTAAGCAGTAAGAAACACTAAGGTAAATTTGTCTTCAATATTTCTGTGAGTCATCACAACCAGTGTTCAACAGTGCAGTTTTCCAAGTGTGGTGTACATTCACCGCATTCACCTTCAGCCAGTCCGGGTGCAAAAAGAGAAAAGAATCATGGTCCTAGTTCAGAAGAGTCCTGTAGGTGGGAATCCACAGCAGTAATTGGAGAGTTATTTTCTGCTAAACTCCCCAAGTATAAAAATTATCACTTTGTAATTGAATCACTCTCTGTAATATGTCATACAATGTAATGTGTGGTGTTTCTGTTACAGGAGACAGTTACATACATACCTATCACCAAGTCTCTTGAAGAAGGACAAAAGGGTAAGTAAATTATTTTGTTTTGCTGTAGTTCTTGGATATTGTCCATTATAGGACTAAAGTGTGACAAAATGTAATAAATTAAATGAATACAGGAAGAAAATTTATGGAAAAGTATAGGGACGTAAGTAAATATATGTTATAACTAGTGTCAAGACAGGGCAGGCAGTGAAGCTGTCTTGGATGTGAAATATCACAATGGTTTGTAATGCAAGATGGCAGTTTTTTTTTAGAGAGAGAGAGATCAAAATAAATGCGAATGTTGTAATTTTTATGTAAACACTTATGGTTATGTATAGATTTGTCAAGGTTTGATAATATATTTTCACCAGTTTCTATTATAGCAAATTTATTATTCATTGAATAAATATTTTGTGTCCATTGAACTTGAATACAATAGTATTTCACTTATGTTTACAGCATTTTATTAACAGCATGTGAAGGATTGTGAAACTGTTATCACACAAAACTTACTCTTTTCATCTTCTTACAGAACAATGTTACTCCTAATATTACACCACTGCAGCCCCTTAATGGTGATAGTCCTGCGGTTGATGGTGCCCCTAGTAATCCAGTAAGCAGGAAGCGACCTTCAGACACTGCTGCTGAGAACCCACGCAAGAAAGTCAAGACAGGAGAGGAAAACTTGAACCAGGTATGTGGTGAAGTGTAAGTCTAGGAAGAGTAGAATGCAAACGGTCAGGTTGAGATGTAAATATTGTTTGTTCCATTCATTGTCAACACATTCAACCATCTGACCATTAGAGCCCTGTCAGGGGTAGATGATTCTATAAACACTGTAAATGTAAATAGCAGTAAATGTTCCTTATTATCATGTATGTTGTTTAGTGTAGGAAGTAATGGATTTTCTTTTAAATGGGTGTGTTGGTGTAGCAGTAATGCTCTTGACTCATGAGGTTCTTTGTTCAGATCTCTGCTAGGTCACCAACTAGCCTGAGTTTGTGTTTCATTATTTTCATCAGTCCCTCCCAGAAAATGCTAGGATAGTACGCTGATTATGCTGTGACTGCTTCCTTCCATATCTGTCCAGCCCTCCTATCACCCTACCATTTGCCACCCTATAGTCCAGCTGCTGACAGCAAAATGCAATAAATTTTTTTCTTTTGTGAGAAATCATTTCCCATGAAGTTACTGAAGAACTTCACATTTTACAATCAATTATAGGATGTGACATCAGAAGAAGACCGGAGTCTCTGTTATTTGTGACACTGCACTGTGCTGTTACTGTACTTAAATTGATTTAAATTATGATCATGACACCTGAATGGTAGTTTATGATGGAGTATGAGGAACTTTTGAAGATATCACCAGAAGAACTTTGTATGCTTACAGGACGAAAAGAACATTTAAAAATTGATTTGAACGATTAATATGTAACGTAACAAATGGAATTATTGTTTCAGAGTGATGATTTGCCTAGCAATTCGATAGTAGTTCACTGTGGTGATGACTCCAGCTCAGCAGAAGACCAAGGGCTAAATGCTGGCGAGGAGAGACCACTGCCTCCTATATCTAGCTCTCCAATTACTGCAAAAGTAAGGCTGTGTATATAATCATGCATGATTACTGAAGCCTTCTGGTCACATACACCGGAAAGTATAAATTGAAATTGGTGAGATATGAACTTTTCACAGCAGTGAAAATTAAGATCGTGATCTGCTTGGTTATGACATTGAATANGTGGGGGGGGGGGGGCAGGAGCTTCCCTTCTGATGTTCATAACCGGCTGTTGAACTGTATGTTGTCAGACTTCAGAAGATGACAGTCATACACAGTGATTAATACTGAAATATGAAGCCCTTTTACTCAAAACGTTTGTTTGTTATAGCTGTGTAACTGAGCACTCAAAAACACATTAATAAAGCATCTCTTTATACAGAAATAATCTTAGTCCATTTGGGCAGCTACAGTTTTTTTATATGTTCTCAGGTTTATGGATCCAAAAATGTGTAACATCTTTAGACAGTAAAGAAACTGGAGTGCAGGCTAAATTATATCAGCTATTTGTAGGCTTAAAAGGAAAATCTTTGGCTCATTTAAAAGAATAATAATGTCACACAATAGCTGAAAGCCATATCTGGTCAGTAGCACGTGACAATAATTTACACATAATTTTAGGTAATTTAATGATTGAATGAACATACATATTTGTATTTGCCTGATACATTTCCCACTCAGAATGTTCTAAAACAATGCGTACTTCACTGTCATAGATTTGTATGCATTCTTTGTACGTATTGAATGTTCTGTGTGAATCATATTTCCAGCAGTTATTTCTTTAAGAGTTTTTTTTTATTTATGGCCAACATTCCATTGTAGAGTTACACAGTATTGATGGAATGCATCATATATATGTTGGATGCTTGTTGTATTCCTTACACAGGCACTCCTTGATTTATGGAACAGCGTTTCAAAAAATCGCAGAATAAGAAATATCATATGTCAAACAAATTTCCCAAAATTCACTTAGATTCCTCCTCTACCACCCACACAACTATTATACTCCTCTTCTCCCCACATCTCATGATAGGCTGACAGGCAGTTTGCACTAAGGAAAGTGACTGTTTGAAATCAGTCTGAATTAATTAAGCACTTCAAAATGAAATAACGTTTTCAAATTCCCATCTAATGAGGAGTACCTGTATATATCCTCAGTAATGCCATGGTAAGTAGTCCTCTCATTTTCACTTATGCAGTAGAAATAGTTTTTCCATTCATACACTTCTTTTCATCATTTTAAAATCGTTGGTGTGGTATTTCTGTGCAGGAAACATCGAGTACACTCCAGGAAGGCTTCATTTGTACGTGACCATTCAGCATCAGAACCTCAGTACCTTAATTGAAAATGGTATGCAATCTCCAGGAGTTAACCATGTTTTCTATTTTTAATATGCATTTGTTGGTGATGAAAGAGCAGTGCTGTGGTGACACGTGTTTCAGTTGAAGTGAACATTCCATTACTCCTGAAATTTATAAATTTGACTTTTCCCAAGGCTATGTCAGTACAGCGGTTGATGGGCATATGTTGCCTCATTTGTGTTTTGTTTTGCTTTGAGAAGGTATCCTGAAACTGGGATTTCCTAAAGTGTTGATAATATTGGGTTTGCAGTAAGCTGTGAGACGATTGTGAGGTAGTTGTAATTGAATCCCATTGAGTAACGAAACATGTATAATGTTGATTCTGTAATACAGGAGGGCTTATGCTGATGCAGACATTATTGTGAATCTGGCAGGATGATGAACTCAGTAGTGCTCTTGCCTGTTTGCCTCCCTTCCTGCACTATCTAGAAGTGACATTTTATAGCTGACGAGTGTCTTGTGACTGTGTCAGTTGCACTAGTGCTGCTGGTTTCCCAGTGGGTGTCCGAAAGTGCAACAAAGAGTATAAGTGGCTGGAACATCTCCAGCATTAGTGCAATCATTTCTTTTTCCTTCCTTATATTATTAACATGTATTTTTTTAGGATTGTGACATTTTTCATTGTGATAGTGAAAAATGTTGCTTGTTTTTTTTTCCAAATGAAATATAATGAAAATTATAAAAATATGTCAAAATATAGACATTTTAATTTAATTATTTTCTTCATTGTACTTCCTTAATTTTTGTTTCAAATGACTGTAAATAGAGGAATGCTTAGTGTGAATTTTTGTCAGTTTTATATAAAAACCATTGTGTAAACAGAATTGTTTCATTTTGTGACAATGTTTGTGTTTCTCAGTGTGAGTGTAATGTTGTGATTTCCCCTGTGAAACTCCAGTCCCACAAGCTTGTCCAGGTAAGTGTGTGCCTGGGTTACTGCATTACTTTAGAACTGAGATTGCATTCTTTGACTACAGCTTGACCATTAGTACTCGTACTATTGATACTTGGAACATTTTTTTCATTACTACAAAGAGAGTGGTTCCTCAAATTCCATTGTTTATGTTAGAAACAAGTGCCTGGTCATTGAATGTTGGTTCAGGAAAAATCTCCATATTTGCTGATTTCCTTGCATTTTAGCTTGAGATATTGAGAAACCATTCTCTAAAATTGAAATGTGATTCATCTATCAAGAGTGTGAAGAAGAGGGAGGAACAAACCTCTCCTGTTCTATTGACGTCATTAATTACTTAGGCTTGGTGGGATTCAGTAATTGTTATCAGTTTCCTGTTTTGGAATCTTTGGAGTGTGAATTGGCTTTGGATAAAATGTCAAAAAAAGGTCTGGTTATGTTTGGTAGCTAACTTTTTTATGTATTTTATCATTCTCAGATTCCAGAGAGATTGAAATCTCTAATCTAGAAATGTATTGAAGAAAGCCTGGTTATTCATAGTTCGATGTATATGTTCTGGCAAATGAATAAAATAACTCTTGAGAGGAATTCTTATTTTTCTATCATTTCTTTGAATTGTCCAAAGAAATAATGCAGCAGCATGTTTCAGTGAATTCTGCCATGCCTACCTCAATGCCTTTAACATGGTTTGAAAATAGTCTTGATTCAATGACAAAATTTAAACAAAAGAACATTTAATGAGGTACTATAGCCTGTAGGGATCTTGTATTTGTGGTGTATAAAATACTTACTTTGTGCAATGTTTAGTGTCTTTTTATAAAATAGAAGACTGTATCGTGTTATTTATATTGAGTTATGATGTAAAACAAGAGAAACCCCATGTAAGATTTGAGGCTTTCACGGCGNGGTGCCAAATCCCAGAAGACTGCTTTCTTCAAGAGAAACCCCGATTTCACTTGCGATGAAATGGAGACATGTGCATTATCATAGGTGGAATGATTGATTTTTACTATCAAATATTCACTTTTAAATGTACGTTCATACACACGTGTCAGTTTAAGTTCATCATGATAGTGGTCAGAACTCTCTGGTATTATGCAGGAATAACTATAGTATGAAATGGTTTCATACAAAAAATTAAAGTCAATTTTTTTAATTAGTTACATAGTGTAGAAAATAGTTTTGAAGTAGTATACTGTAACATTTCAAGGCTTGCATTTAGATTTCACTTCTGAAAAAAATAGGGCATTACATGGTGTGATAATGCAGTAGTTCATTATAAAGAGCTAATATGATAATTGTGTTGGTATACTAATACACAACTTTCATAATAATTGGCTGTATGCCCCAGATATATGGCTTGTGTGTTTATTCTTTCAGCAGTCCAACAGAACAGCTGTCTGCACTGCATCATGGAGGGAACAGAGTGACCGTTATATATATATATATATTTTCTTCACCACAGTTATAAGGAAATAGTATGAGAAAGATAGCAATGCAAAGATCTGCCCTTCATTGTAATTCTATGTGATAGATGCTGTATTTATGCAGTATTATCTGTAGGAAATGTATTACAATAAATGAAGTGCAGTGCTCATGCTGTGCTGAGGATGATAGTGAAAGAATTAAGTTTTGGGGAGATAATTTTTGTAAATTTGCTAATACAGGGAAAGGGCAATTCAGAATTCTTCAGAGAATCATGAGCATGAAATGTTCTGGCCATTAAATGTAAATGGACGTTAAATCAGGAATGACAAAGTGTTCAGGGGCTTAAGCTTCATGTTTTTGAAGTAATTTTTAAAAATACTTTACTGCAAATATGTTAGTGAAACTGGCTGTCTGTGTGTCCCAAATTCAAGACTTGAGACATGAACAACATTCATTTTCCCTGTTTTAACAGTTTGGTTTAAATGGAATGATAATATTAAAATTGATCTTAGGGGAACAGTGTAAGGGAAAGGAAATTGGGCAAAGATGGGGTCCCAGTATGGGGTGTTTGTGAGCATGGTAATAAATCTTTGGGTGCAATAAAAGAGGTGATCTTGACCAGCTGAGTAACTAAAGTTTTAAAATAATTCTCTGCTTCACCCAATAGTGTTTGTCACTGTTGTGCGGGCAGTATGTGAATGTGGGTGAGAATTCTTTTGACGTGTTCACATTATGTTCATTTAGCAAACTTAATGCTGCTCATGTCATTATTAGGCATTCATTACAAAGTAAAAGAAAGAATACACTTATTGACTTTTTGACATCTGTTGGCCCATTTTTTTTATTTAAATGGTCAACGTTTCAGAGGCTGGGCTGTCTCCCCATCCTCAGGTTGGGCCCAGTCAATAGAGCTAATCCCAACCTCCAGACCAGAAACAATACAAGGGAGGATGTATATAAACCATCTGCGGAAGTTATGAAAAACATTTCAAAATAGCATGTGCATGAGGCAATACACCTGTGGCCATGCATGCGTAATGGGCTAAGAGTCCTACTAAAACAGAAGCGAAAACCAAAATTCAGATCAGTGATATAACAGTATGAACCAACTGAATAGGATTTTACCTGAGGACGGGCAGAGTTCAGTCCCCAAAATATATGTAATTTTACTCACATTACCGTAAACATCATCACAAACTTTAAACCTACTGAACAGAAAGAAAACACTTTGTGTCAAGGCTATGTCTGGCCTTTTGCTTGTGACCTAGTATAAGCACCTATAATATTAAATAAATTTTCTTTAAATTCCATGTGGGAGACTGTTATTGAGGAAGTGGAAGAATTAAAATTTTTAGCTGCCTTGACCCATAATAAAATGTGATTTACCTAAGGCCATAAATCATTTAGGTGATACTGTTGAAAACTGACATTAGAGGCCTCCACCAAATGTGCAGCAATTTCGATTTTCGGCCATTAATCCATAATAAAGCCTATTTTCATAAGACCATAAATAACTTTTCCATATAATCAAAGACAATTTTACAGGTTTTGTTAAAATATTATGTAGGAAATTTCCATCTGAATTTGTCAGAGAGGTCCTGTTTTAGCTGTGTTGATTTATAAAGCCTTGTTTACATACAGCCATAAATGAGTTTTCCCATATGTCTCATAATCTGTTCCACTGGTGCTATTGAAAATCAACATGGGAGACATTCACTGAACCTGACGCAGTTTTGATTTTCAGTCAATTTGATCCACTGTAAAGCCTTACTCACCTAAGGCCAGAAGTGAACTTTTCCATGTATCCCATGGACTGTTTCACAGATTTTGTTGGAATTTGAAATAGACTCATATTTACAGTTCATTCCCATTTTTAAGTAAACTTAATGAACCTCAGAAGTACCTGTGTACTACATTTTTAAGTACAGTCCTGTTTTTGAGTATAAACATCAGTTTAGGTCTTGAAATAATTCTTCATTCTGAAAAACATGAATACTGTCAGCCCAAGATTTTTCATGGTAGAAAATATTTTGCTAACAAGACTAGAGTGGGATCTGTGACTGAACCAGTTCTTTTTAAAAATGGCATGCCAATAGTCATGTGCAATATGTCAGGTTTTGTGGTACAGCTAAGGCCAGGAGTAAATAAAACAAGGTTTCCTGCTAAGAGTCAGATTTGGAGGAATAAAAGATGTAGCATTCATGATAATGCTTTGGAAATTTTGGTGCTCTTTTATGGGGAAAGACATTGCTCATACTATATTTGGCTGCATACAGCTCACATCTCTTAAGTACCTCCTGATTGATGAAGTACTTGCAGAAATTGTGTATTTGTCGGCTATCTATACATACATTCACCCATATGCCTTCATGGCATAGTGCTTAATTAGTTGAGCACAGGGACAGCTTTACTTTTTTTATTTAAAACTATTCAGTATGTTCTGTAATATCACTTTATTAAAAATTATCATATGCAGTAATCAAGACATATTCAGAAATATGCAGTAAGTCTTTTCAGTTTTACCGTTGCAGAATTGGTTTCGAGTTTTATCACAACCACACAAGCTCACAGATTTAAGCAGCAAATGTATGAAAACATTCTCAACATATCAGTCATACTGCAATAAATGTTGCAGTTGTACAAGAGATAAAACATGGTACCTTGATATCTGAATGAACGCTGCATACAGTATGAGAATGGTCTTGTGGGACATGTAATTTGCATACATTGTAGTAATGTTTCATAAACCAAATAAAATGATCTACTGAACATGAGGTGGAAGTCCATATGACCATTATAAAAAGCCATCAGATAACTCCCTTAAGAGTGATGACTTAGGAAGGCCATTTGCCCTTAAACTGACAAAGGATTTTACAGAGTGCTCAAAGTATGCCTTTATTCTGTGGAATTTTTACGAAGTCATATCCTGTATGAATAAAAATTATAAATGATGCATTATATAACTGTCAAACTATCTGAGCCAACCTTACTGAGATACACGAAGCTGTGTGTAAAGTGAAAATACAATGACAAAAGTTCTGCAGTAGAAATTATAATTTTGAAATATGTATGATTTTAATCCGTAATATGTTACAGAAAATAATGTCTGTTGTTTATACACCTGCTACTATAACTTTACATGAAGACCATCAAGATCTGTTAAGCCATATTAGTTTGATACATCATATATGTTATTTGTATATATCGTAGAGTAATTCATTTCCATTTTTATATACTCTTAAGAGGGATGTGACTTAAAGACATATACAATAAATAATAACTTTTATCACAAAGACAAAACAGCTCCATCCAGTGTGACTATTGAAGTTTGAAGTAAAAACAACACAGCATGCCATGTACAACACAGGACAATACCAAGAATCTCTTTCTCAAGATAGACAGGCGCCACACGATCAGCCCCCATCAAGAAAGACGGTAGGAGAAGGGACACGAACCTACATGGTTTATAAATTTTAACTTAAATAACAAAGTTTTAAAAACTTTAATACACCAAGAAAGATGCTGCAGTTGTGGAAAAGTTGGATTTTGTATATATTGTGCATTACAAATACTGTATGTATATGTATTTTAACACTCAAAACGCCCATTGTGATAGTAGCTTCCAAAAAAGTATCGATGTCCCTCTGATGATGGTCTATAGGAACCGAAACATGTAAGGGTCTTAAGTTTTTAAGTAGTAAAAACTTCAGTTGTCACACTGGACAGAGTTGTTTTGTCTTTGTAATTTGTTTGTGTGACGGACCAGAATGAAACAAATCAAACTTTTATCAAGTTACGCTCTGCTTACTATTTTAGTTATTTTCTTTTGTACAGTTTATACAAAGTTTCCACCTGATGGTGTTCATGAATATGTTATGGAAGTGAATTACAGAAATAAAATTCATGTGAGAGTTGTACAGTGAATTGTTCATGACCATTCATGACTGCTGAGTTGGAGAGTAATTAACTTCGAGAGCTCTGTCTTCTGGAATATAACGATGTGTGCTGCATTGAAAGTAAACTGATGTTTCGGGGGATCATGGCGCCTCCATCTTCAAGGTCGAAGAATAATCCGTGTAAGACCAGTGTGAAGCAGGTAGCAAGCAGATCCCTGTTTCATTGTCACCGCGCTGAAAACCTCAAATCCTACTTTACCGATGGAGCTATCGCGAGACCGTTTTGTTGTTCTGTAACCTCTGTAAGATGGCAGAACACTTGTATGATGTGCATTGATTCATGACGATTAGATTTCACAGAGATATGTAAATGTATAAGCTTTTCAATAGAAACAAAAATATCGTGCTGAGCGATTCTGAGCCAGTATATTGATCATATTGATCACAGATCACGATAGCCTACCTCTCAATGCCCTCAATGTACGGATTTTTTCCATCGCATTCGAACAGCGTACTCCATTCTATACGTCATCATCATCATCAATAATCTGTCAGACGACAGGTCACACTCTCTTCCAAAACAATTCCTCCACTTAATGTGATCTAGAACTTTCTCCTTCAAATGACAGTATTCTCTTCTGTCCCCAAGGTCATCCAGCATCTTCTTACGTCTTCTTCCTCGTCTTCTTGTCACTTCTATCCGCCCCTCTATCTTTCCTTCAATAACTTCTTTTAGAAGGCAGTTTCTGCGTAAAACATGACCAATCCAATTAGCCTTCCGTTTTCTTATTTCGTGTAGGATATTCCTCTGCTCACTGACTCTAATTAACACTTCTTCATTTCTCACATAATCGGTCCAACTGATCTTCTCCATCCTTCTCCAACACCACATTTCGAAACTGTCCAGATGTTTCTGATCTACTGCCCTAAGTGTCCATGTTTCAGCCCCATACAGAGCTATGCTCCAAATGTAGCATTTCACTAGTTTCTTCCTCAAATTTAAGTCCAATTTGCTGGTAAAAAGATTCTTCTTCTTGCTAAATGCAGCTTTTGCCATGGCAATCCTGGATTTAATTTCACAAGTACACCTTCCATCATCTGTTAACAAGCTACCCAAATATTTAAAACATTTCACATTCTCCAGTTGTTTTTGGTCTATCTTTATTGTGACTGGGGTTGGTTGTCTCGAAATTTTCATTACTTTTGTTTTCTCCACATTCATTTCCATGCCATAGCACCTTCCAATTTCAATTAGTCTATCAATCATGCCCTGTAGCACAGTTTCTTCCTTAGCCATTAACACAAGGTCATCTGCATATTTCACAGTTTGAATAATTTGCCCTCCTAATTTGAAGTCTCCGAGCCCATCCGGAGTTTCCTGGGTAAGGCATTCGCTGTACAAGTTGAACAGAATTGGTGATAAACAGCATCCGTGTCGAACTCCTCTTCCAATCTGCACCCTTCTTGTCTCCCCTCTGTCCATTCGTACTCTAACTTTCTGATCCACGTACAATTTGCTAATCAATCTTCTTTCACGCCAATTGATACCTGTTTCCTTTAGGATTTGCATTAATTTGGTCCAGTTTACATGGTCAAATGCCTTCTGCCAGTCTATGAAGCAAACACACAGTTCTTCATCTATCTCCAAAGTTCGTTCTGCTATAATTCTCATCATCCCAATTGCATCCCTGGTTCCTTTTCCTCTTCTAAATCCAAACTGATGTTCTCCAAGTATATTCTCTATTTTCCTTTCAATTCTTCTTTTAAGTATCTTTGCTATTATCTTTGCTGTATGTGCAATAAGGCTTATTGTGCGATGGTCGCTGCATTTTGTGGCTTTTGTCTTTTTCTTTAAGGCAAGCATTATAAGTTCTGTAAAGTCCTTGGGCCACTCTCCAATTTCATATATGGTGTTCATTAGTTCTGTAAATGTTTCCAAACCACCTTCTCCCAGTAACTTAAGCACATCTCCAGGTACATCATCTCCTGTCTTCCCCATAAGTTGCATGAACATGTTTTATTTTATATGCCGAAAGAACATAATTTCTTAGCGAAATAAATTTGTTCACCAAATACAGGCTTTATTAACTGATATAATAAAAAAAAATATTTAAACCATCAAGACAGATATAAGTTCGTTTCAATTGTAGTTTTGCTTAGATGCTTCTGAAATGTTCACTTACTGAATTCTGTCCTTCAGAAGCTATATAAGTGTATTCCAGAAAACAGAACACCTTTTATGAGTTTGAGAACATCCCTATGCTTAATGGCATCCGCTCTGTTACCCTCGGTTACGCTCGGTTACTGGGCACGCTGGGCACTGGATATTAATCCGTGTTGAAGATCAGATGCAACAGTTGCGTCCTCGAGCGATGTTTGAGACGTGTGAGTGAATGGAAGTAACCGAATGTTTATTGTTTCCGGGGGAATATGTCGAGCGAACTGTATTTTAGGCGTACGCTTGAAACTTATTTTTTTCTTCATTGCTTAGGTTATTCAATGTATATCCGTAGCGTTATTCGGTCAGTGAGATACGCAGGACCGAAGTGCTATGTTGTGCACGTGTAGTCTCGTAAGAGCATTATAAACTCAATATGGCGGGCATGGAATGTTCGGCCTTTTCAGAGGATGGCAAATATTTTGGATGCTGTGGTGCAGATGGGAAGCTGAAGGTGTGGGAAACAGAATCTGGGATATTAAGTCAAGAATATACACCAGACCTACATCTGTCCTCGCCGTTTACTTGTCTTACGTGGGTAGCTTCAAGAAACTGGGTAAGCCATGTGGAACACCGTGGAAATAAATGATATTAAATGGCCGCTAATTTTGTTGTTAGATGTACAGTCTGTGATTTCTTGCACAACCAGTTGTAACTCCTGTTTGTAACCCCCACTGAGCCCAAAGAAGAAACAGTTGTTCAAAAATTAAATATCGGAGTCTTCTGTGTACTTCGAATTATATTATGGACTGACGTTCCTTCGTATAATTTTCGCAGAATGGTGATGACAACAATCGTTGCAATGTATCTGTTCAACGTCTCCCCATTATACGGTTAAAATTATGTTACGGGAGTTTATTTAAGTTATGATTCCAGTTCATCGTGTTACAGGTTAATCAACCCCGGAGTTCATTCATACACACGGATGAAATAGAATGTAGGCCGAACATCAAGGCTTGTATTGCAGCAGAGGAATTTGTTTGGCTGGGCAAGGCAGCATGTAGGCTAAGAATACAGGGTTTGCTTGATTTGCCAGTCCACAGTATTCTTTGTTAAAGGGATTTCCTGTACCTTGTGTGCTTGTTACCTATTGGTGTACACTCATTGTTTTAACTGAATTAGGGTAATACAAGTAAGATAAAGTTAAGTTGTTCTGGTGCTCAGGAGTTGTCGGCTTCACACTTTAGCGGTTAACCCACAAAAAAACTTCACCAGTATGTATTGGGAAGGAAACTGAATGGTACTACAGCCAGTCTGAACATGATTGTGAAGAGAGAGGTCCCTGCATTTACCAGGAATTGAACCCTGGCCAGTCTTTATATGCTGATTAAGTATTGTACAGCTACAACTAGTTGTTTGCCTTAAGAGTAAACAAGATGTTTAGTACACATGCACATGTTACCAGGATTTAATTTGCACTGCAAGAAATTATTGGGACTTATGAACCGATGAAATCAAGAAGTTTCAGTGTGCTTGACACATAATTTTTGAGGGAAAATAAAGAACTGCATATTGAATTTGCTGGTTCTGAGTTCAGGGAAAAGGCTACTTGGGTTTAGCTTGACTTTAGCATAAATACTGTGCACATAGATTCACTGTGTGAACTGGATTGAATTGGCTATGAATGTCAGACAGTATGCTTTCATATGAGTGCTGTTATGTCTTTGGGTTTCATTACCGTAGGCTTACTGATGTGTATATGATACTTACAACTGAATTTTAAGTATTGAGTTGGGGAGGGTGAAGGTCTGGTCACCCCAAGCATTCACACTGTTACAGGGTCTATTTTGTGTCCCTGTTTTCACCAGGGCTAGAGCCAGAACTTGTTTGGTTGTGGTACTATTAATGTAGGTTCCAACCACGCAGACCCTAAGATCCTAGCTGGGCATTGATGACGTATGACAGGAGAAGTCTTGCTTCTATCCATATGTTACATGTGATAATTACAATATTGATTAATTTGTGTTGAAAATTGTCTAAAATATTACATTATGCTGCAAATAATATAATCAAAATACTTACAGCTCTGCAACTTAATTTTTATTTTATGAAAAATTATTGTCCATCATTCCATGGTAGTATGAATATAAGAGTGTATAAGGGTTGGGCCTTCTTTGCCCTTGCACAACGACCTACGGTGATCTATTGTGCTTCCATGGTAGTATGTTAAAATTTGTTACCAGTATCTGTTAAGTGTGGCACAGAATGTTCTTTTGTGGAAAATCATTCCTCATGTGCTAATGAATTTCACATTCTTGTAGATGGTAAATAAATAGTGACATTATGCTTGCTAGGTTTCACCGAGGAAGAAAAAGAAGCGGAAATCAGCAGAGCATGCGTCCGAAACAGATACTGTGGCACTGGGAACAGTTGCAGGAAACTTGCTGTTGTACAGCATTGCAAGTGGCAGTATGGTGTGTCAGCTACAGGGTGGTCACAGTTTTGCAGTGAATCATATAGCGTGGAGCAGGGGCTCCAATTTGTTTAGCTGTGATGACAAACACATTGTGGAGTGGAGTGTTGCTGATACCTCAGTAAAGAGGTAAGCAACTGCTATATGGCAGGGTGGAATGTATTGATGGTTGCGATGTATTTACTGAACACAATAGAGTATGAAGTACAGGGTGTCTGGATGAAAGGTATCCAAAATAGAATAATTATATCTCAGAAAGCATTTATTATACACATTTATGGGTTACACTGTTATAACTATCAGCGTTTTTTTTTTCTAGGTATATAACTTTCCCAGTAAATTTCAATGTGGCCTCCCTTGGTGGCATGACAGATATCCGGATATTTGACTCATTCCATGTTGCTTGAAGCGTGTTTGGTGTTACTGTAGCCACAGCATTTCTTGCATGTCTTGCTAGTATTTATACCTAATTCTTTTTCTTTGTTGTGTAGCAAATGGAAAGTTGGCAGAGAGCGAGTGACATGTTTACTGGTGCTGCCAGACAGTAATTCATTAGTGGCAGCAGGATGCACAATTGGCTTGTGGGACATACCTAGCAAGAAACTCATACGCAGGTATACAGGGCATGCTTCAGAAGTGACGTCTCTCACGCTCATCCCAGGTAAAGAGAGCTACTTCTTAAGTGCTGCTAGGAATGACCGGCTCCTCAGTGCATGGTAAGTTTATCAGAATGGATTATTTCTTTCAAGAATGAGTGTGATTTATTTTACTGGCCATTGATAGAAAGGACATTGCTGTGCCTTAGTGAATAAAAATGCTTACATACATTATAAGTACTGTATTTTTTGTATAATGCCTGTAAGGTATTTTCATGGTTTGCAGCTGGCAGTCAGTCAATATAAGTACCACCACAGTGGAAGGTTAATTTGAATTTTCTTCTAACCCCTTCACTTTTTACTACTTAGCACACAGTCATACCTCTTATGCTAATCATTCTTACAGTTTTCCTTAAATATGGAAATCGTGAAGAAGTTGATGTGATATGTATTAACTCTTGCCTGTATTATGAAGATTGTTTGAGAATACTTTTGGGTACCAGTTTTACTCTCTGAGATAGCCAGGGCAAGGTGATGTTAAGATAGGGTGTTTCTAACGCTGTGTATAGCAGTTTCTAAATTATTTTACAGATGAAATACAGAGACAGAGAGACAGGGGACAGATCTAACATGGAGTTCATAATATCTAAGTTGGAAAGTTTATGGCATTGAGAAAGTTTGTTTTGTTGCATCTGTAATTGTAGAGGCACAGGAAGAGCTGGGGGGACACCAAACTTCCTGTCATGTGGCTACTATGGGATATTTTTTTCTAAATGCACCTATTGTGTGAAGTTATATGGTGTGGTATGTGGGCACAACCGTAACTGCATTTAACATGAAGGGGATGATTTAGCAGGCTTGTTGATTGCTACTGTTATTGCAGGTCATTAAGTTCCAGTAGTCAAGATACAAATTCAGTGGCATCGTTTGTGATGGAAGATGTTGCAGTGTGTGTGTCGTTATGCAGTACTGATACAACAGGCATGGTCGCAGTTACTAGGAGTGGGGTACTGCACCTGTATAGGCATCAACTAAATGGGTGAGTTATATTACCTACCACCACCAATTTCAACATCATAAGACTTCTTTAGTTGTAGGTTGTAAGGAGAACAGGTTTTATGTCACAAAGGAGTGAAGATGCAAAGTGCTAGACATGTGGGAGGGAGTGAGGGACTAAGGTCTCTCTCTAAGTTTGTGCTAAAATGGTTACAGGAAGTAAGTGAAGATACACCTGAAGTAGTGAAATTCCCATGTAATGTTCTTTGATTCCCAATTGTTCCAGGGCTGTGCCATGGCTCAGATGGTTAGTCCCTTCCCACAATGGTGGCCTACGTTCGATAGCAGGTCATGATAGACAAAGTGGCTTTAGGGCAGGGTTTCTTCAGTTACTTTGGTTTCTCTAGCTGTTTTTCCTAGCTGCTTCTTAATCCTCTTATCATAGACGCTTTGTAGTCTGGATATTGACAGCATCGCTAAATAATCGACATAAAATAAAACTTTTTCAACATCTAATGATTTGTGTGTCTGGCATCAGACCAAGTTAGCTTATAGTGTCATGGCTTCTGTGTAAGTTTTCTTTTTTTATCAGTTTAGCAGTGAAAGTGATGTCTCTCAGAAAAAAATTAAGTGGAGAAAATGCTTCAGATGAAGCTAGTAAAACTTCTCTGCATCAATTATACAGTTTGATCTTATGGTCTAGGTTGTGTAAAAGGATAAAAAGCATGGTTTGAAGAAGTATGTTATTGAAAATTTATATAGTATGTAATTTATCTTTTATAATTAATTTCTGTTGTGTTATGATTGATTTAATCCTACAAAATTAAACATATTTCTGAAATTTGTTTTAAAAAATTCTATAATTTTCCATTTATCTGTTAATAATTTTCTGTGTGAATGCAAGGCTTACATGGTAGCTCTGCTAAATGTGTGTTGGGCAGGCCTTCCGAATATTGGCTGAAATTGCATGCTAGGTCGTGAATATTAAATTTCATGGTAAAGTCAAAATGATTATTTGTGCTGCATGCAATTCTTGTGTGTGTGTGTTCTTCCCTGGTTGCATGACCATACAAGAACTGGGCTTTCTGTTCTTACATGCTAGACTTATGATTAATTTGCGTCAGCATGTGTTCAACATCACAAAATGACAGAAATTCATAGGCTGGCAGTAATCAGTATCTTAGGAATTAAGGCTTGACTTCTGTAGGTCAGTTTTGTCAGATTTATTGTTCCAAATATTTGTATACTGCTATATAAAATTGGTAAGGGAATAAATTTATAAATATGTCACCTCTTTATTGTTTTTGTAATGTAGCATGTAGTCTCATTGCTGGGCAACAACCATGAGGTAAACAAATATGCAAAGAGCAGTTGTTGAGTGATGGCTTTGCAAACAAACATATTCCCACAGAAACGATTGAGCTACAACAATGAGGAGTGGTGTTTTCTGTGCGGTCCGTGCCAAGATGTTAAATGGCACAAGTTGGGAGCTGCAGTTGGTTAGTGAAAAGAAGACTAGGAGGTTGGAGTTAGATGGCTGCCTAGGAGTTAAGACAGTTTGAGCAATGAGTCAGTTGTGGGATATCTGCCAGCCAGTAAAGGCGTAAGCAGAGGACATTATTAGGGTCTGTTACCAGGAAATGACTAGTGAAGACATAGAAGACATTATGGGTGCTGCAGTTACAATGAGCTTTAGAGTGTGTAAACCAGTGAGTAATTATGAGTTGTGTGTATAAGTGTTCATTAAATGCAGCGACCAATCCAAACCCTGTCTCTAGAGAGACTCGTGCACTTGACAGTAATTAGAGTCTGGTTGTATATGAATGAATGAATGAATGTATGAGGGGTAGGCCTTCTCGGCCCTTGCACCACGACCTCAGCGATCTATCACGAGTCTGGTTGTATAACATGGCCACAATATGAAGTTTTGCTTGGCTTAGAACATGTGTAGTGCTGATATGTTTGAAAGTGTAGTTCACTATACCAGTCTAATCATATTCTATCCTTTCCAGAAAATGTTCTAAACCTTTGAAGCCAGCAGTAACCGTACAAATTGCATCAGACACTGGCCAAAGCAGAGATGCTGTGCAGCCCATCCCTATTCTCGGAGCTGTTAAACAGGGACCCAACATCCTTATAGCTCATGGGAGTCCAGTTTTCCTCTCATTTGAGTCAATAGTGAGTATGAGTCTCTTTTATGTTACCATCTTTATTTATGTCATCCAATTCTGAATATCTGTCTGTGAACAGAATTTAGTTTCCATGTGTAGAGTTCAGACATCTCCTTTGCTTCTGTGTGGGTCTCATAGCCTGTATTTGCTTGAATTGAATAAGACTCCAAACATCATAATTCCTGTTGCCAGAAAATTCAGAGATTGTGCCGTGAGTTACACATCCTGTTACTGTTTCATTCGTAGAAAAAATTAATATATGTAGGACTTAACAGTTCCATTAATGTTGACCAATTATAATTTTTTTGTGTAAGTTAAGGAAAAAATCAGGTGAAAGATCTATGAATTCTGAAGTTACTACGGTCCATGCTACATTTTGCTGTGATTTGTAGTTATGTCAGGTTATTTAATAAATTTTAGAAGGAGCACAACTATCACAAAGTGATACACAAGTTTGATTAGTGTATTATTCGTTCAGTTCACTTTTGATAGAACAGCATGAGCTTGGAGCTCTTTAGTGTGCATCTCTACCTTGTGTCCTCAGTTGCTTGGGTTTAAACTCCATGGCTGCCAAAATTCTGAACTTCACTTCCACAATTTTTTGTTGTGTGGTCGAATGTTTTACAGATACATGCATCTCTTGAAATCTCTCAGCTTTTTTTGGAGTTGATTTAGAACTTAGATCTGCATTAATTTTTGTGATTCACGTTAACATTATAGGATTCATAATATAAGTATTTTATTTAAATTCAGAATGTTACATATATTTACAGAAAGATTAAAAGAATATGTTATATAATCTGTGATTAACCCTATCAACAGAGAAAGAGTACAAGTGATCATGTTACTGTAGCAAATACAAGAAATACAAATGTCAAGTACCTCTGTTGTCTCATGCATGAAAGTAGTAGCCCAAAACGTCCAGTACACGTGAAACACATTCTCAGTACAGAGCAGCTAGGGTTGAACTGAGGAAGTAATTCAGTAACTGCAAATAGTTTGACATTCATAAGAACGTAATGTTTGATTAGCTAGTCAGATTCATCCTTTATTCAACCAAAACATTCATTACTATGTTTACAGGAGCCCACCACGGGCTGTTATCCAAGCCATAGTCTGCGCCAAATTTCTTTAAGAGCCGTCTTACAGTGCACACAATTTCACCTTTCTCTTCACTACATGTTTTGGCACAAATGTGCCATCTTCACGTGTGGTTTTGTTTACGTCGAACCATTGCACTGTATGCCATCATGTCTCCTTTATAAAATGATTAAAATGTACATATTCATGTATAATAATAAAATTTATATATTAAAACTTTTCAAGATTTATCATCTATACGTCGTACTTCAAATTCGTGAGTTACGTCAATCCTCTCCTATGGGAGTACTCTTCCTATATTCTTGTGTATATTGTGTCCTTCCCTTGTGACTGCGTGCATTGTATTGTTGGATATGTGTGTCGTATCCAGCAATACAACACACGCAGTCACAAGGGAAGAACACAACACAGGACACAATATACACAAGAATATAGGAAGAGTACTCCCATAGGAGAGGATTGACGTAACTCACGAATTTGAAGTACGACGTATAGATGATAAATCTTGAAAAGTTTTAATATATACATTTTATTATCATGACATATATACGACTTGAAGCACAGAGCAAATGATGCTCGAGATGGTTGAAGTTCGTATAGCAACAGGCGTGACCAGAGTGGTTTGAACGGCTGTTGTACTGCGATGTGGAAAGCAAATGGAAAAACTACCACATTATCACTTTTCTTGGATAGTCCCTTTCCAAAAACAGAAGATCGCATTAAGTGGAGGAACTGTTTTGGAAGAGATTGTGGACCTGTCGTCTGACAGATTACTGATGAATGATGAATGACATATATACATTTTAATCATTTTATAAAGGAGACATGAGGCATACAGTGCAATGGTTTGACATAAATAAAACCACACCTGAAGATGGCACATTAGTGCCGAAACATGTAGTGAGGAGAAAAGTGAAATTGTGTGCACTGTAAGACGGTTGGTACAAATACACATCATGAACGATTCTGAAAATGAGTTTAAGAAATTCATGAACTGTGAAAAATGAAAGTCCGTACACCAGTTATAAACGCAGTATGGAGCTTCAGCATGAAGTTTACCTGATCCTTTATGGGATGTATGAAAGATTAGATGGTTGTTAAGTAAATGAACGAATCATTTTCTTACTGAGTGTTTTACATTTCAGTGTCCTAAGGGGCATGAGAAGGTGTTGTGCTTGGTGAGACAAGATCCTAGGGAGAATGTTAAATCAAGGGATGCTGTCATATCCAAGGTAGGATGCCTGTAATACAAGTTTCATGCAATTGTAACATTTGCACTCTGTCTCAAGGTATATGTACATACATATACTTGCAGTGTAAGTGGTAATGTCCACTTAAAAGTTTCAGTTGTGTATAATATTAAAGTGCAGAAATGTTTATGGGAGTTAATTTTGAAACTGGTTTTCAGTTTTGAGTTTTCTTACATTTCAGACAGAAAATGCTGAAGTCACAATATATTGAGATTTTTAATCTTTAAAATTACAGATTAGAAATTCTGAATGTGATACATAATTCTTCTTAGACATGCCTTAAGAAACCCAAAATTAAAATGCTTCTGAATGTATGGTTTGTTGAGGTAAAGTCATATTTGGAATGTAACATCAATGCAGCATGTTATGGATGAAGTCCTTTACCAGAATGAGCATAGCAGAGAACAGAAATCCAGAAAGTGTAGGAAGATACAAAGAAAAACGTTATGAGGCACTCTCTAGTGGAGATGCCAAGCTTTCTGAATGTTCAAGGGTCGCAGGATTTATCCAGTAAATAGCTGGCCTAGTTATTGGTGTATTAGAATCCAAACTATTTGTAATATTTCATGGTTCTTTATCCATTCCTTCTTTTTATTTTCATGAACAGGTTAAAGTACCGGAGGATGATGATGTTGAATATGTCTCACAAACAGCAACAGTGGCGACACCTTTAAAGAGAGGCAAAAAGCTGAAGACAGATGTACCTATGGAAGAACGTCTAGATAACTTAAGCCTTACGAGACAAGAAGCTGTCAGTCATAAACCTCCACAGGCTGATAGCATGGCTCATCTGCTTATGCAGGTGTGTATGCCTTGGCAGATATTGTGCAAAAGCCAGTAGACCTTGGGCAGTGAGAATGGGGAGGGGTCTTATGAATCATGTGACTTCCTTTTCCCATACGGTTGCATATTCGAGGTTTGACGTACCCACAGAGATATTCAAGACTGCACAGTTTTGCCTATGGAGTGAGGGAAAATCTATCCTATAGCTGTGATGCATTTTTACTACTTTTGCAGTTTATCACATTATTTGTATCAAGATTAAATTGCAGGAACAGATGTTGATCAAGTGGCCTTATCATCTACTCTTTCATGATATTGATTTTGCATTATGCTTCCATTTTACACCTTGTTATAGCTCGCTGTTTTGGCATCTCTCCTGAATGCTTAATACCATACTGTCATGAATACCCTGTGACCTTGAATAAGTCATAAAGCATATTCGTTTAAAATAAAAGCTCATGAATGTGTTGGTATATTGAATTATGCATAAGGGTAAGGTAAAGCTATCCCTGTAATAGACCGTAGAGGCCCATAGGGTTGTGAGACATCGAGGATCCCACATTTTCCAGACAGTCGGCTTGTAGGTGGTGATGAGGTCAGCCTTACATGCTGGCCACCCTTTACCCCCAGGAAGATTCCTAGTACTCATTTCTGTTAGGGGCTAAGTCAGCTCGAGGGCCATAGTGCAATTCGAAGGGTTAGGTCAGTTGAAAAATCCCATGACCTCAAAAGGATTCAAACCTTGTGACCTTCCAGCGTGTGGCATAGTGCCTCACCCAGCTATGCTACTGTGTGCCCAATTGAATTATACATACTAGGCATAAGTATACCTAAATATCCTTGGAATTTAGATGCATTACCTTTTCTTTATTTCTACAGCTTCATACTTTCGGAGATCTGATATGCAACATGAAAATAGTTTGTGTTAATGTTTTGACTGTTCTCGCTATTAAAATGCTGCTGCTTCAAAATAAAATTTTACATACAGTTGCTCTTTTCTTCTGTTTTTGTCATCATTAACATAGTATTGCCATGAACAGCATGATACATGATTCCTTCTGCTTACGAAAGTAGGGCCGTGCCATAGCTCTAGCTGTTAGTCGCTGGCTTCCGACCGTGGCGGCCCGTGTTTGATCCCGGGTTTGGCCAAGTGGGATTTGTGGTGGACAAAGTGGCGCTGGGGCAGGTTTTCTCGGAGTACTTCGGTTTCCCCTGCAAATCTTCATTCCAACAATTGCTCCACAATCACCCTCACCTATCATATGGGGCTGGTACAGTAGGCCAGAGTTGGCCGCAGTACAAAGGACTTAGTCCCGCCCCACTTACTTACTCATGGAGTTGAACCCTTCTGGAGGAGCTGCCAATTCTGCAGGTATTCAAGAATTTCCCAGCATTTTATGGAACCCGAAGGTTCATTACCGTGTTCAGAAGAGTCCTCCACTGGTCCCTATCCTGAGCCAGATCTATCCAATCCATACCATCCCAACCTGTCTCTGTAAGATCCATTCTAATATTGTCCACCTACCTATGCCCTGTTCTTCCCTGTGGTCTCTTTCCTTCTGGCTTTCCCACCAATATCCTATACGCATTCCTCGTCTCTCCCATTCGTGCTACATGGCCTGCCCGCCTCATCCCCCTTGACTTGATCATTCTAATTATACTTTGAGAAGAGTACAAGTTATGAAGCTCCTCATTAAGGAATTTTTTCCAGCCTTCTGTCACTTCCACTAGCAATAAAAAAACCCACGAAAGTTTGTAAATGCATGTCTTTAGTGCCCATTTTTAACAGAAAACATGCACAGAATTTCATAGATTAGTGTAGACTTATACACTGCAGCTGTGAGTGGATATGTGAAAGAAAGCAGAAATTATGAACACACTGGTACTTGGAATGAGTAATGTTGCCAGCCTCATCACTCATAAACCACAGACCCCACTTTTTGTCACTTTTAAAAGAATCTGTGGGCATTCGAGAAAATCAAGCATATGTTTTATGTTAATGATTTGATTGAAATTTTTAAACATCAACAAAAATATTTGCCATTTTTTTATTTAAACATTGTCACACATCTGTATTTTCACTGGGATATCTCAGTGAGTACAGAGACGGGGTTGAGGGCTGGATGACCAAAGAATTGTTCAATTCCCAGTAAGGGCGAAAAGATTTCTTCTATGCAGTGTCCAAACCAGTTTTTGGGTCTACCCAACTTTCTGTCCAGTATGTACTTGGGGGCTCATTCTCCAAGAGTAAAGTGGCTGAGATGTGATGCTGACCACCCACCCCCCTTCTACTGCTGAGGTTAAGACTGTATGGAGCTGTGCCTCTACTCCCCCTGCATCTTCATGGCTTGATGTTTACTTAAACACTTATAGTTTAATGTTACATGTGGACATTTTTCTTTCAGTTATAGTACATCATAAAGACAAAAACTGAAGCAAATTGATTGTCATTGTTTCAGGGACTGCACAGCAAGGACAAAAAGATCTTGCAGAGTGTCCTAATGCAGAAGGATCCTGTCCTTATTTCCGGTACTGTTATGAGACTGTCTCTCCAGTGCATTGTCCCCCTGCTTAAAGAACTGGTCACTCTCATCCAGGGCAAGACAATAGCGTGAGTTGACTTCTTATTGTATATTAAGAGTATTCAGATCTCTTGTCAGCAATGGCGTATATAACTTTTCCTCTGCTAAATTATCACAGCAAGAAATTTTCAATGTGATCCAGAATGAGCATTGCTTTTGTACTAGTTAATCTAATTGGAGATATCAGTGGAGAACAGTTTTGCAACATAAAATGAATCTTTTACTTGATTAGTATTTAAAAGTGTGTTAAAAATTATGGTCGAAAAATTTGCATCTTTTGCGAAGCTGCAGTGTCAGTCCGATGAAATTCTGGCCAATCCTAAATATATTAAAGGTTGGCAGTTGTATGAACTTATGTGTTGAACTCTTGCAAAATATCTGGGGTGCAGGAGAAAGGCTGTTACTTTTGTCATGCCCATCTCTGTATATTTGGAAAGTGTGTGTACTCTAAATTGGCATACATCTTTCCACTTTTATTATGTTTCAGGATTGTACAGAACCATAGGAGAGTTTTGGTAACGTAGGACAGCAGTTTTGACAGTGTGTTTAATTATGTTTGGTGGAGGCTGAGAATTTGAAATGTGTTGCTTTGTTGCTTTTAGGAGTCAAATTGCTGTCCTCTGGTTGAAAGCTGTTATCAAATCACATGCCGGTCAATTGATGGCCAACTCTGATGTAAGAGATACATTGTCTCCTGTCCTAGGACTAGTGGAAACAAGATTGGGGCTGTTGGCACCTTTGTTACGGCTTCGTGGTCGGCTTGATTTGTTGGTAGATCAGATAGGGGAAAGCAGCAAGGGGAATGTCGCTGGAGACTTTGGGGAGAGTCTTCTTGTATTCCAGGATCAAGGTAGTGGGCTGCTATTTCGTGACATGTTCGGGTTTCCATTTGCATATGTTCTCAATTCTCATGCTTCATAAATGTCTTTGATTCCAGTCTTGTTCCCTCTAATTACTTTCTTCTGCCCTTTAGCCACTTTCTTTTTGTCTGTCCCTTTCACAATTTCCAGTTGGGGTTAAATTATTTTGGGTTTTTGGTCATGTCTGTTTTCCTATTCTCTCTGTATGTTCCTAACTCCACAGCTTTAGTATCTCTGATATGCAGAATTTAATTTCCTGTGATCCAGTTCATAAAATAATATTTCTTGAAACAGACTGATAACTCTTGTCCTTTGAAATGTTTCTGTGCTTATTTATATTACTTGAAAGTTCAAACCTATTACTTTCCATGTTGTGTTATAAGTTCAGACAGGGTGATTAAATGTTCTTGAAGAGTTGAGTTGCAGAACAATTGAGTAATGAAAGTCAAAAAACAGTTTAATTTTTAAGCCACATCACTGATTCAGCATAGTTTTTAAAGGTAAAATAATTTGAGGTTCATGTTTTGCCATTTCTACCTAAAAACAGATCTCTCTCAACTAAGAATTCACTATTGTTATTTCATAAATATTTTCAACTTATCATTAGTATGATATTGTGTTTCTAGGCCCTCTTCCCTTTTCCTGTTCAAATAATGCATGGCAACGCATGACAAATAACAAAAGCTTAACTTAGAGCTGTGTTGCTGTTTTCTTCTCCATTCCACTCCTCTCCTAAATACTCTAAGCACAAGCTTTGTTTTCGTACTCAGACTCTGAGAGAACAGTTACTATGTTGATAACCAAGATCACAGAAATATGTTTTCTGACACTGAAGGATGTTTGCTATGTTCTTTTTGAAGGTGTGATCGAAGTTATATTTTAATTTTAAGGTAATTATTGTGATTTTATTTTGTGTTCAATTTCTGTGAATGCAGCCCATCTGAATATTAAATTTGTGTAATTTTGAGGTTTTTCTTATTTTGGTGTTGAATGTGATGTATGGATTTCTGGTGCACCGTGGAGTAATATCTTAGATTCCAGTTTCAGTAAATAGATAAATGAGATGTTAACATGCCAGTATGTTTATGAATAAGCAACCATGATTGAAGACACTTTCCATAATTTGGATTTTATTCTGTTCTAGACTCAGATGAGGGAAGCGAAATAGAAGAAATAGCTTTGGGTAGTGAGTCTGAAGATCACTGGGAGGAACTCTCAGATATGGACAGGGAGGAAGAGGAAGAGGAAGAGGGAGAGGGGCAGGCTGATGAGGTGGACATGTTAAACTGAGAATGTACAAGTGCATGTGGACTCTGGTGATATGGGGAAGGGAACGTGGTGTTGATGAAGAAGGAATATGCAACCATTACAGCGTAAAAGAAGAAAACTAGACAAGCTGATTGGAAGATAATTTGACAGAGATCATAGTATTCAGAATGCTTGGCAACTCTGAGACAGCACAATTCAGGGTGTGGTTTTTGTTGCCTAATATTGCTTTTTCTCTGTAATGGAAAATTGTATCATTTTACATCATGCCATAAAATATGATGGCAGATCATTTACATGCATGTCTTGCATATGGCGTGTTTATTAATGGACTGCTGTATTACCAAATGTAATACAATTGAGAAGAAAATTTTAACCCATGATGTAGCTGTTTTATTTTATTATCCCTAGTGCTGGTAATGCCAGCTTCTGACAGGTCTGTGCCACTGCTGCTTATCTAAGAATAATGTAAAAATACAGATTGTATGCTGTCATTTTATCCTGCCTTCTTCACACTGATACTGTAACAAATTTCTATTTTTTTATTGGAGAATGAGCTTGGTTAATATACAATTGATACACTATTGCATTACTTTTTTGTTGTCAGAATGAGGAAGGCTGGTGTGAAGTCGTTTGAAATTTGAGATCTGTAGATATAAAGAGAATATGAAACTGGAGGTCTCATGTTTTCAGGACTGAGTATGTATTTACTTCTGATGGCTTGTACCTATAAGAAATTTTACAGAAAAAACATCATAACCCCTTGACTACTATGCACAGGATATCCAAGGCTTACCTACTCCATAGCACATCACATTGGCTCTGATGTTCTGGTCTGTAAATTATTTTAGCCTGCTTTATAGGAAAAGATAGGCAGATGATATCACATTCATGTGTGTGTCCATATCACATCGTAATAACTTCTGAACTCGAATGAATTTCCATGAAACTTCATATGAACACAATAACATTTGAAGCTCACCCATGTCTCTTCTTTTGTATTGTGTTAACGTTAATAACACTGATATGGGTGCCTTGTTGACTTTTGAGTCGGAGCAATGCTATGGCTGTTTCTTGTGGAGCACTGAAGTTTTGTGTTTATAGACTTATGTAGAATCCAATGCTTTTGTAAATGCCTCGCACGATGTGTACATAGCTATGTACTTCATCCAATGGCCATTCTCATGATACAGTGTATGTATTCTAATGAAACTGCTGTTAAGTTTTTAAGTTAATATTTGTAAATTGATAAAGTTTGTTACTTGACTTAGATTTAAAAACTTATTAGGTATTAGTTATGGGGCTGTTTTGCCAATGTCTTCCATTTTATCGTATTATTTATTGCTGAGAACATTGTAATTAATGTGTTTCAGAATCTAAATTAACAACAGAAATCTGAAAGAAATAGGACCTCACAACCTTGACTACAATAGTAAGATGGTAAAACAACAGTGTGTAGAAAAGAATTTCATGGTATAACCATCATCGTCCTTGGCAAAAACAACCCTCCTTGAAACATAGGCTTGCTTAGAAGATTCTGCCAGATTTGATCCAGTTTCCAGAGGAATAGCCTTGTGTACAACCCCCCACCCAAGGAACCGGATTCTCTTTTCGTCACTTTCTATGACTTGCAAGGCTGTGGTGGAAGAATTCTAACCAGCCTTCACATGGCAAGATGGAATAATGTAATAGCCAGCCAAATATTCACAACAGAAGATGAGACTTCATAAAGTTCAGAACATGTGCACAACTATACCTCGATATGTAAGCCAGGAGGTATAATATATAATTAATTTTATAGCATAAAATTACCATAAAAGTATGTAATTATTGTAATCATATAATGTAATTGACATATTTTATAATCTTGTGGTTTTACACAAATTTCTTAACTATGTTTAGGAGCAGTATGAGTATGTTGGACAATATCAACAGTTTAAACATTCCAGATGAAAGGTCACCATTTAACAACTCCTAAAAATTGGATGGTCAAAACCATGCTTATCTATTTTTTAATATCAGATGAACTGTCCATTACAAACTTACTCCTCCAGAACAGCTGAACAAGCAAGCAATGTGAAGTTCTGTAGAAGACAAGGTCTTTGGTCACTCAAGAGGATTTCTCATCAGGACAGCACACCTTTCCACATAGTACTGATGGGAAAGCAACTTGACCAAAAAGCAAATACCAGTATTGGACTTACCTGATTTAGCCCCCTATGATATATATTCACAAAATTAAACAAGTTGAAAGACACCCGTTTATAAGTCAGCTAAAGATGTTTAGTGTGAAATAATGATCTTTGTTTAGACTTTGAGAAAGTAATTCCCTTCCAGGTGTGGTAGAGGTTGTTGGAATGCATGTTTAAAGGAGAAGAGTAATCACCACACATTTGCATTATCAGATCTATAAAAAATATATGAATTCAGTGACATTTTAGTGGCTTATGTATAGAGTTCTTTGGATTAGGATCTTATGCCTTTCCTGAAATTTTGTGATTCTGACATTGGAAGAGCATGGGCATTGCATGAATTGGCATAGTCCCATGTTAGGATTTCTTGTTAAACTTATATTGTATATGATAACATCAACTGACAGTTCAGACATGTTAGTTTAGCAAGTCTGATTCAAGTTGGGATGTAAAACCCAGTGTTCACAGTTCTGCATTCCTATGAGAGTGGCATCTGCTTAGGTTGTATAGAGGAGTAGGGTAGTGCACCTTCAGGCCATTGTGTGGGCAGTTACTAACATTTGGTTTTCATATAAATTGGTGTTGCAGGAGTTTACAATAGCAGCCTGTTTATAAGTCAGTTTGATTTCTCACTTGACAGCTGTCAGTAACGTCCGATCTCGTGGGGAAAGGTTTATTAATGATAATGAAGGCGCACTAATGCAAAATGTGTGCCTTGGTGAAACTCCAAAGTTGGAGTGGACTTTAGAAAGCTCATTAGGTAGGATTATTTATTTTGCTGCCACAATACACACGTCACTTTGATATTTCTGAATACTGTGTATGGTTCAACTTTCTTGATTTACTTCCAGTTTTTCAGTTAGGATAATTTGAAGGTATTTATTTAGAGACTTCAATTGATGCTTTTAAAAAGGCAGGTCTAGAAGTAAATGCAGAGAAAACTACATATGTTGCTGTCTTGTTGGCAGAATGCAGGGCAAAGTCATGACATACAGATAGCTAACAGATTTTTGAAAATATGGCACAGATCAAATATTTTGGAATGACAAATCAAAATTTGTGTTAAGGGGAAAATACAAAGGAGATTGAATTTGGGTAATGCTTGCTATGAATAAGTCCAGAACCTTGTGTCATGTTGTCTGTTCTCTAAAAACAAAAATTAGAATATACAAAACTGTTTGGGTTTGAAACTTGATCTCAGACATTAAGGGAGGAACATGGGCTGAGGGTGTTGAGAACATTTGGGCCTAAGAGAAATTAAGTTATGGAAGGTCGGAGAAGTCTACATAATTAATTGCTTCACAACTTTTACTCTTTTTCAAGTATAATTATAATGATCAAGTCAAGGAGGATAAGATGAGCAGGGCACATGATGGAGAAGAGTAATGCAAGATTTTGGTGGGAAAGCCAGAAGTAGTAGCCCACTAGGAAGATGATGTAAGTGGTGGATTTTTTTTATTGCTAGTGGGGTGGGACTAAGTCCCTTGTACTGCGGCCACTTCTGGCCTATGGTACCAGCCCCAGATGATAGGTGAGGGTGATTGTGGAGCAATTGGTGGAATGAAGATTGGCAGGGGAAACCGAAGTACTCGGAGAAAACCTGCCCCAGCGCCTTGTAAAGGAGTGATCATCTCCATAAAATTGCGAAATAACCATTTTTGGAGCCTTAACTTCATCATTCAACCCCCCATTAAAGAAAATAAGGTATTCGCGAAAACATTACGTTTACAGTGACAGGAACTTGAATTGGTCTAGCGTTCGCAATACGCTGCATTGGAAGTGACCCCATAGCGACGAAGGAAGAAATTCCATTGGATAGGAAAATACCCGTTGCAATGGTGGCAATGCTGAGCAGGGATATTAAATTATTTAGAATTTTGAATAACCTTACTTTGCAATACTGAACATGACATTAATTTGTACAGAATCATTTTTGGTTATGACACATTCCACATCCAACAGTAATTTTGAATAACTTTTAATCCAGGGAATACGGTGTCGTAATGTAATGTAAATTAATGAATAAGATTTCGGCCTTCTAGAATTAGATACCGTTCTTATGTAACACAGATATTTCTTTTTTGCAACTATGCAGTCACATACCACGGTCCTGTGGGTTTTTGGCACCTTTTAATTACATGTAAATGATCCGTGGTGTAGTTGTGTTACGCTTCCGTCAGCATCAGACCAAATCAGACGTGGCCCGTTTTGGACACATTACGTAGCAGTAGACGCAGTAGATGAATTATCATCAACGACGTTGGCTGAATCGGGCCGAATCGGCAGAATGGTGGATGGTAAGCCGTAATGGCAACGGTAACGTCGTAATTTTTGGAATTTGGGAATATGCCGTAGCGGAAACGAAGTTGAATGAAGAAAGATCCGTGCAAACCTCATGCTTGTTGCATTCAGAAGTGTCTGAAAGGTGGCTATATAGTCATTAGCAATGGTTCAGTGATATTTATTCTAACTTTTAATTTCAAGGAAGTAGATTATATTTGCAAAGAAGAAAGCCGTTAGCTATTAATGACAGCATCCTGATATTTGCATGTTGAAATACTATTTTGATATACTGTTAGGTGTAACATTTCTCAGTAGCATTTATGCATCACAACAGTACAAAATTTTTGAACTGTTCAAACCTGTGTGTGTTGCACCAATACTTCAAACCAGTAATCACCTCGATAAACATACTGTATTATCCTTTTTTTTTTTTTTTTTGCAGAAAACAGTTATCAGGAAGCTTCATGTCAACAGTTTATTGAATTGCTAAAGGAATGTTGTCGTAAATGGGGCAGTGCTTCAATCAGTTGTTCAGGAATTGATACTTCAGAAACTCCTTCACAGACAGTAAGAAAATGTATCTGTGTGTTCTGTGCCTGCCAGGTTTTTCCATGTCATTTATTTTATTATACATTCCTGATATACTGTTTAGCAGGTAATTATGTTTGCAGGCTCATATCCATTTGTGTCCATTACATGCCATCAGAAAATTTAATGTCAGAAAAACTTAAAATAAAAGCATAAAATTAAACTTTTCTGACCATTTTATCAAAGCGAGTCACTTACTTTGAAAATCTCTACTGAAAAGTTGTATACTACTACGTAATATTCTGAGGGAATAAATGCATTGCGCTAATGTTACAGAATTCAAGGAATTCAGTGTTTCATGTTACGAGTGGTTTACACCT